AAAACTAGTTTTTGCAGAAGTTAAAAATAAGATTTTTGAGGAACTAATTGAATTGAATTTCTACAAATTAATTAATTTAGGTATAAATTAATTTTAACTTATGGAGAAATCCATTTCATTTTTTTCTTCCTATTTCTCTTTTTTAGAAGGCTTGTGGAGAAATTTATTCAAATAGACACCATGTTTACTTGGGATGGATTCTTTGCAAAGCAACATGACATGCTTCTTAAATTGACATCTACGGAAGAGTGAAAAGAAAGAAGAAAAAGGCCATCGTGAATAGTTTAGAAGTTTCATGAATAACTTTGCCAGTTCTGTAACATTTTTAGAGGGAACAAATTGTATAGAAGCTAGAAAGCAAAATCATATGTCAATGATTGGCACTATACATCTTAGTGTTACTTCTATAGATATAAATCTTACAAGTCTCCTCCTAACAACTTAAACTTTTAACTTAGTTGGAACTTCACATATATATAAAATAAGAGTAAACTACAAAAAAACAAAATAGGTAATTACTGGTGATTTTTTTTTTTTGCAATTTCCAAAAACTGCCAAAAAATATTACATTTGTGATTAGGATGGTTAGCATTACAAATTATTGACACTTTATGACGGTAGCAAGAATGATAATTGTTACAAGTATTGTCACTTTCTGACGGTTTTAACCCGCCAAAACGTTCAAATTATTTTTTATTAAAATTAAACTTAAAAAAAATATTTTTAAAACAAAGTCTGACAATCTAACGATAAGTACGTAGGGGTATTTTGGGAAAGTTGAAAATGATTGCTTAAATACTTAATTTTTTAGTGGTTTCAAACCGCGCAATATTTAAGCATCTGTGTTTAACATTGCCAAGTTTTGGACATGTGACCAGCTCAATTAAAATATTTTTTATTAAAAGAATAAAATAAAAAAATTTATAATTTTAGTTCAAAATTACTGTTCAAGCTCCTTCGTGTGCTCTTTCGTCTCTATCATTACTGTTTGAAGAGCTTCTCTTTTCTACTCGATTAATCCATTCATGATGAATTTTCGATCATCCAAATGTATTAAATTTGTTCTATTTTCATCGACTCATACTCACAATTAGCCATTCTTTAATGAGAATCAAAACCTAGGTTACGAAACCTGCACGCTAGAAATGTATGCATTCAATTGATCTTAGGGTAGGATTTCATATACAATTTGTTTCTGTCTAAGTCAATTTGTTTCTGTCTAAGCTATCATTTCCTATTCTCCTGAATTTTGCAGATGGTTGTGTTGTCCCTGTAGCTTCGAATCGGACAGCGAAATTTGCTAGGAGAGTTTCAATTTCAAATCCTGTCGGCGATTCATTTGGTATTGCACTCGCATTTCTCTTTCTCTATTTTCGTCGGAAATAATGGTTTTACATTTCTAGAGGGTGGTTTTTATGCATAAGTCAATTATAGGTTCCTAACTGATATATAGAAGAAATGAATTGAATAGAAAAGAGTTTCTGCTCAAACTCTTACCAGAAACTCTCCTCATTCACATTTCCATCCTTTTTTCTTACAACCCATATGAAACTATGACCACAATGTTCAAGCCCATGAGCCAGTTCAACAAGTTGAGCATGAGGGAGCCTGGTTTGGCTTCCAAAACTTACATAAAGTACAGACTCATTTTGCTTTGAGTTAAGCCAATTTAGCCATTCTGGCTCATTCATAACCTTTCAAAAGAATAAAATGAGTATCCATTGGATGGATACTCATTCATGCCATCCATTTTTTGATTCCAAACACAAGCAGTCACTTGATAAACAGTCAGATTCATAATTAGAATTTTCTTCTTCAGGTCATATTCTCCAAACGCATGGCTTTATGACAGTCACCTACTATCCACTCCGGTCAGAGATCTGGTTCAAAACAACATTTATACCATGAGATTCTTCTAAAGATACTGGATTCAAAATTCATGTGGCATAAGGCAAACATATTCCCTGATTTACATATACAATTGTGAAAATGATGTGCGAATTTCAAGAACAAAATAAAATTAACCATAACAGGAAAACCAGAGATGTATGATTAGAGATCCTTACTGCCATGGATCATCACCAACAAGCATCATATCTCCCTCATTATCAGTGTAGACAATAAGCCAATCCTTCTGTGGAGAAGTTAATTCACCTCCAAATTCAAATAGCTGATCCAGTTCAGCAATTAATTCATCATAATCACTTAATTTGGTAAGGTCCACTGACCTACCAAGTGCAATCCCCTTGAATTGGGCTAATAAGATTGTAACAGCTTTTGATGGTCATCAATCAGTAGACCATCAGCTGGCTTTGATCCCCTTGAATGCTCAGACTTCTGATCATTTTCAATTGTACGCTGTTGGTGAGATGTAGTCTGCATGTGACCAATAGGCTCACTTGCAACATTTCTTTGTGATACAAAAGGCTCTGGTGCCACGGGACTACTGAGAAGTCAAAAACCAAACAGCTTACAGTTACTGTCTTTTGGTTTTGAAACCTCACAAGGCTTTCCTGCTATTGGTTTGGGCAACAGTTCTCTTGAACGAGGACTCTCATATTGACTTGATGGTGGTGGTGGCATCAAAAAGCTTCCATGTGAATGCTCAACTTTATGTCCATGAAGCACAGGATAGTCATCAAAAAGTTTTTCCATCATCAATGTTGATCTAATTATTTTGGAACATTTTATTATTTCACTCCATGGGTTTTATGGGTTTGCTGTGCTGCTTCAGTTATATAAACAAACTGTTTAATCACAATTAGTTTCATTTATTCCAACTACTCCCCACCAGTATATGCAGTTAATATGATGGATCATTTCTCAATCTTGTTTAAAAGAAGACCAGTGAGCAGTGCATTTCTCAATTTTACTTACAGGGTTAACTTGACGTGTTACAACTTACATGAGTATGGACTACATTGGGGTTAAAGGAATCTGAACTCACTGAAATTGATAGTTTCAATTTAGATAATTAGTTTTCTAATTTTTATTCTTAACTTTTCAAAAGTTGAACTTATAGCTTGCTTATTTCACTTCCTATGTTATCTCTCCAGGGAGACTTCGCCTCATCAAGAGTGGAGAGAGCATTGATCAAACTTCCTTGGATGAATTGCGTAAGTTCCTTTAACTATGATTGCAAATAATGACATATTTTAACAGTGGTTTGTTTCCACTTTCCACACGTTTCGAAGTTAATTGTGGGGCATAGCTTTACTTAAGATCGAGGTTTGTTCATGAACTAGTATTATGCCTGACAATAATAAATATGTGCTGGCAGGAGAAGGGTTGTTTTAGAAGGAATCTGACCATCTAAAGGAAGCATCTTTTTCTGTAAGAATCTTAGACTTGATGCGAAACAACATTTATAATGAACACTATGATGAATACTTTGGTTGTTTGATTTTATTTTGTGGGAGAGGTGGAGAAGAATATATTATTTGTGCCGCTTACTAGTTCTGTAATTTGGATATGAATATTACTATAGTCCACTAAAACTTTGATGTAGGGGTATGCACTAGTTTAGCACGAGTACTGATAATGGTTTCCAAGATTAACTTGCACAAATGGGAGGGTAGCTAGCTATTTAAGAAATACAACTAGAAAAGCGCAACTGTTGGTGATAATCACTAACCATTCATCTGAACACGACACCTGTAGGATCGGAGTACTTTGTCCTTATAACTAAATTAGGGAAGCATATCAATTGTTAAAGTCAATTGAGTAGTAAAAATTGGAGCCATAGATATATACATAATTTCTGTTGTTAAAACTTCTACCAATTAAAAATATGGAATAGTGGATACATTAAATTGATTTTGAGGAGAAAAGAAAGTTGTTTAATCTATTTTTTTTCCTTATTTCATTGACCAATTGATTTCTTTTTATTAATTATAAGTGGTAAAAATCAATCATTGCTTCGGTTGTTCAGTTTTTATTTTAGTATATTTTAAGAATCAATAAATAATAAATCTTGTAAAAGATATGCGATGAATATAACTAATAAAGAGATTAAATATATGCTAAATCAAGTGGTTTGTATTAAATAAAGTAATAGTGGAGTCGATTTCTTTAAGTAAAATTTTAAATTTATGTATGAGAAAAAAAGATAGTTTTACATTTATTTTGACGCCACAAAACTTATCATTTTTACATTTATTTTGACTCCTCAAAACTTGAAGCTTGATGTCTTTACTTTTGTTGCAGTTGGGTGGATATTTCAATGATCCTTTAATGATTTAAAAAGTAATATTGTTTCATTAAGTCTTCTCAATGTGTGTGTACATACTTGTGTTGGCATGCAAACACAATTTTATAGTGATTACGCATATACTCTTTATGCCAAGTATCTATATTTGGATATGAACTGTTTTTGGTTAATTTATTTTAATTCATATTATTTTAATAATATTCAATTTTTGCATAAATATTTAGGTCTTGTTTTGACTTCATCCCCTGACCACAATAAAGCCTCGTTTTTGATATTTTGTTGTTTCCTTTTACTTACTACTTACATGTTTAGGCAACCCAACCTGAAAGTTCTTTGCCTCTTACTTCATCACCATCTCAACCACCTGCATCGACTGTAGTACAGTGAGTTCATATTTGTTTCCCTGCTTCAAAGTTTCAGCATGATGAAATGTTCTTTCATCCCTTGAATAACGTGTTGCATTATTTATATCAATGCTAATTAATTGAATGATATGGTACTTGATATAGTTTTGCGTCTTTGTCTACTTTGATGATGTTGTATGCTTCATTTTAAAATATGTGATTATTTCGTGTTGCTTTTATGTTTGAACTAAGTTTCAACACTGTTGGTGTTATTTACTGGAATCAGACAGGGTTACTGACTGCAACTTGCTTGATAAAATGACTGAAACAAACTTGATTGCAGAAGCAAAAACTTGATGGGGAATAATTAGTTTTGTAGTCTGTACGAATTGGACTACCAGTGAGTTCATATTATGCACTGCTATGTTGTACCTTCTGTTGGCTAAAAGAGTACAAATTATAACATAACAAGTCGAAGAGGGGAATGCTGTTGCTATGTACTATATTTGGTATTTGATTACACTTTAAGTTGAATTTAATATAATCCATCTGTTTAGTTGAGAGATTTAGGTGACTGTTGCTTTTCACTATTGTGCTATGTGATTTGAGGATGGAGTATGTTATGATTGATTAAATGTCTAAATATCCATGTTTTTGTGTTTAATGCTTGGTAACTTTCCTAATTTTGATTGTGATGCTTTAGTCTTCATCATTTTGGGAGAACTATTTTTTTTTCCTAATGGTGACTAAGTTGTTGGTGAAAGGTCTTTAATATCAAGAAATATGAGATTGGATTATTCTTCAATCTTGAACTGGGGTTTGAACTTTTTGCTGTGCTAAATTGGGAGTTGAACATTTAGGAGAGTAATATACTAATCATGCATAACTAATTACAATCATGATCTTAACAAATATAAAAATTGAAAATTCTCTAATATCAAGTACCATATCCAAAATGCATGACCATTGTTGTCCAAAAACTCAAGCTTGGTTCTCATAGCATCAGAATTATGTTTCTCTATAATATATTAGAAGAACAAATGTCAACCATTCAATATTAGAAACATTACATTTTTATTAGATAGAAAGCAACACATAATTTTCCATTTTGGCTTCGGTAAGAGACTTATTTATTGCTTGATTGCAACTTGGATAGTTTTTTGAATAACAGAAGTTTGTACCATCACCTAAATATTAATACTTAATTGAAGTTTAATATTTTATGCATATTTTATTAATAAGGATAACTTTAAACAATTTGTATTTTATAGGATGAAGGGAGTGGACATGACATGCCGACACCACAAGGAAGATCTTCATTAGATAGTAGTGTTCATGGAGTTTGACATTATTATTGTTTTTTTTTTGTTAGACATGATGAACTCATGAATTTGAACTTATGTTTTTCATATCTGAAGCGAGATTAATTTTGGGACAATTTACATATTTTGCTTTTGAGCATTGATCATGAATTTGATTTTGAGTTACTTAATATGTTAGATAGTTTTAGAATTAATGGATGTTAATGTCTTAATAATAAAAAATATGTCATGTTAGAATTTACTAAAATAAGTGATCCTAGAATTTGATAAGTAAAATTTTTATTTATAAATTACTTGAATTAAATAATAATATAATATAGTCATTATTAATTTTTAATGATTAATATGGTTAGTGATAATTTTTAATAATAATTTGATAAATGCCTAAAATATAGACTATTATTTGTCAATTTATAATAAAAATGCGCTTTTAAAATAATTTCAAATATATTTAAAAAATAAAAAATTATGGTAAAATAAAGTGTACTTTTGAGAAACCTACAATATTGTAGCAGCTCATGGTTATTTTGGCCGATTGATCTTCCAATATGCAAGTTTCAACAATTCTCGTTCTTTACATTTCTTCCTAGCTGCTTGGCCTGTAGTAGGTATTTGGTTTACCGCTTTAGGTATCAGCACTATGGCTTTCAATTTAAATGGTTTTAATTTCAACCAATCCGTAGTTGATAGTCAAGGTCGTGTAATTAATACCTGGGCTATTAAAATTGTCAGAAAATGCAAGACAAATAAAAAATATATTTTTTGGCAATCTAAAACTGCCAGAAAATGTCAACAAGTAAAAATAATAATGATTTTGTGGCCATTTTAAACTCGTTAGAAACTTTGAAAGAACTTAAAATGAATTTTGTGACGGTTTTAAACTTCCAGAAAATGACAAACAAGTCAATAGGTCTGCAATTTTGTGGCGGTTACAAACCGCTAGAAAATTTCAAACAAGTCAGACGAAAATGCATTTTATAGCGGTTTGAATACAAAATATCTGCCGCAAACGGTTTTTATGCAATTTGTGGCGGCTTTTAACCTCCAGAAACCACCAAATTAACCACCATAAATTACACATTTTTTTCTAGTAATACTAGTGCAAGTAATACGATATATACAAATACTATCTGATAAAGTTCTCTAAAAGTACTTTTAAGAAAGAGAAATAAAAAATAGAATAAAATGAATATTTTTATAAATTAAAATTAATTTATATATAAGTTAATATGTAGAAGATCTATCTAATTAACTTTTTCAAAATTTTATCTTTAACTCTTGCATAAATTAATTTTAACTTATAAAAAAATTGTTTTAATTTTATTTTCCTCTCGTTTTTAGAAAAGTTTATCCAAAGAGAACCATAATAATTACTAAGTTTAAAGATTGAGAACGGGCCCAGAACGGGTCATTCTGGTTTTGGAACGGACCGTTCTGGAAGGAGAACGGGCCGTTCTAAAAGGAGTACGGGCCGTTCTGGATGGGTCTGGAACGGGGCGTTCCGGTTTCAGAACGACCCGTTCTAGTTCTAAAACTTGCGTAGATTTTTTTAGGCCCAGAACGGGCGTTCCGCTTTTTGGAACGGGTCGTTCCGAGTTAGGCAGCGCAGAAGTTTATAAATAGGGGGCTGGGGTTTGAGAAATGGAGAATCTGAGAGAAGGTCCTAGAGAGAGAAAGAGGAAAGAGAGAGAAAGAAAAAGAGAGGAGGGGAAAGAAAAGAGGAGAGAGAGGAAGAGAAATCTGCCAGGGAAAAGAAAAGAGAAGGGAGAAGAGGAGGTTCTGCCCTAGTTTCGATTCTTGTTTATCCAAGTAAGGTTAGTACTTATAAGACTTAATCTAATATGTGTGAGCATGATAGAGGTAGTATAACCTTTAATATGCTATTTTGTTTAAGTTGATAGTTGTTTTAGGTGTTTAATTATTTATATTATTATATTGAATGATCTGGCATGGTTATGGAAAAGTTTGTATGTAATTATGGAATATGCTATGTGTGTTTGGTTTGGAAAGCTAATAGGACTTAGAGGGGTAAGGTTATGGTATGGATTAGATCTCTTGGTGAGATCAGGTTAATCTTTGGAAAAATATGGAATTTGGGAATCCCATGGTGAGGATTCCTATATGGAACTTTTCTAAAGATTATATAATAAACCACTTCAGATGTTAGGTGGATTCTGAAGTACTCCTCTAAGTATTCTATTTGCTACCAGTATGGGGGCAAGGCCGAGTCATACCGATGGATGAAGTGGCCACGATCACCAGGGTAACGTGACGACGTAATCCAACTATATATTTTCCATATGAGAGGTTAGGTGTGTTACATGGGTTGATGACATGTTTCACCGAATCAACACTTGGTTTGGATGTGTTGAGGCCAACATTTGGTTTGGATGTGTTGGTTACATCATCGAATTATACAGTGGTGTGATTTTGGATTGGATGTGGAATATGTATGCATATGGTTTGGATTGTATACATTGGTTATGGATTCTTTATTATCATAGAATATGTATGCAGTGGTATGGATGTGTATACCTTAGATTCTTGATTGGTTTATATTTGGCATGGAAATAACTGTTTATAATGTTGTCATGGTATGGATACACATTGTTAATGAAACATTTATTTTAATGATATTGTATTATACTATGGTTGGTTTTATACGTGCTAACCCTTATATTTCCATGATGTGGACTGTGATGATCTCACTATGTGGGGGAGCAGATTAGGTGTGAGGCTTTGAGATAGCAAGAAGTCTTTTGGATAGCTGCTTTGAGAAGTGACTAGGCTTAGAGCTTGACCAGCACCTAGGGTATCTATCTTATATTTTCATGATGCTAGTTTTTTTGGATTACTGTATAATCTTACTGAGGATGATGACTCTGTTATAAAAATATGTTATATATTTTTGGAAACAATTTATATATTATAGTATATTTACACTCTAGCGTAGCTGACCCTTGCTCTATTTTCTTTATTATATATTATTTTATTTTGGTTGGTTCTTGATGTGATGACCTAAGGCGGGTCGTTACACTACTCTGCCTTTTTTCTTGGTTGATTCCTACTTTATAAGATCTTTAAAACTGCTAAATTAGTATAATTTTGGGTATTGGTTTAATAACATCAACGCATTTTCTTAGTTATCACCATTGACAATCCATTGTAGTGCACTTCTTGCATGATATTGCATTGTGAATTTGTCATGGGTCATCCCAGGGATCAATACCACATATTCTCCTTTATTGAAATTGAAGTTTTTCATCGTGACAAAATTTCTTCTTTCCATGATTTCCTACATGTCTTTGAAGAGCTAGGATCAAACCTTTTTAAAACATTGTAAATTAATTATTAATGCATGAGAAAAAACAATTTAGTACAGTACTTTTATTTACAAAATATAATTTTTAGATCTCATTTTTTTATTGTTTATCATTGTAGGTGCATGCAAAATGATTGTCACTACAATTTTAATTTTCGATACTCATAGCTGCAACAGTGCATAGCCATAGCTTAAAGAAATTTTCATTCACATATATAATTTTTCACTTTTCAGGTTTTATTGTTTCATTGTTATCTTCTTTTAATTTTCAAAATTATTTTTCATGTTATTTTTATTTTAATGTTAAAACTTTAGGGGAAGGTGAACTGAAAAAGTATTGTATCAATCTTGAAAAGATTGAGTTTTAAGGGCCATTCTGATATTGATGGTCTTGATTTGTTTTCAGAATTAAAGTTATTGAAAGAAATTCTAACAAATGAAATTAACACACCATTAAAAATATTGAACAATATAAAAAGATCATGCTCTTTTCCAAATACATACATTGCTTATAGAATATTATTAACATTACCTGTAATTGTTGCGACTGCTGAAAGAAGTTTTTCAAAATTAAAATTGATTAAATCATATTTAAGATCAACTATGCTATAAGATAGATTGAATGGGTTAGCTATATTATCTATTAAGAATAAGATGTTATAATTATTTAATTATAAAACTTTAATACATAATTTTGCAGCTCAAAAAGCCAGAAAAATAACATAAAAATTATTAGGTTATATTAACATAAGTCCCTATCATAATTTTTGCCTAAGGCCCGAAATTCCTAAATACGGCCCTGCTTGCTAGTAAAATAGTTTCACATATAAACTGTCTATAAAAATTCAATCAAAATTATAAAACATAAAGTTTGCAACTGAACTTATACAAAAGAAAACGGTGAATCACAAATAAATTATAAAAATCTAGTCTAATATGTAGTCCCGATGTCACATTATCAGAACAACCCATCCCTTTCATACTCGACACCTTGAGTACTCACCTCATCGCTTACATCATTACCTAAAACAAACCACAATGTACACAGGTGAGGAAAATAAACATTCATATGTACGACACAAGAAAAGAATTTCACCCAAATTTATGATCAGTCCCACATACAATTCACAATAATACCCAATCATAATATTATTATCATTATATATATATCCATCAATTGAAATCACCACAATCACATCATCATATAGCTCATGCATTATGCTCATGCTCACATCAATGCATATATACAATGCAACCTCCTAAGAAACATCAATTCAAAATGCCGCACAATGGACAAACTTCATTAATCTCCTCAAGCGCACTGCTACACATGGCCACATTGTTTATATCACTTATAACTGGTGTTACACTGTTAATCACCACTTATGACCAGTGTATAAAGATAGATCCCTTGTTAATCACCACTTATGGCTAGGGTAAATATGTATGCACCATGCACCAATGCTCATGCCATGTCACCTGATACTTTCATCCTTTTTATTCATGCCAATATGCACAATTAATAGTAATAAAACACATCCAATTACCACATTCGTACACTAATTCATCCGAACACACACCATCTGTACTTAATCATACAATGACCATCCATGGACACCACATAACTCACAATCATCATCAAACACATTAGTACACATAACATATTTATAGATTGCGCATGGCGATCACCAAGATGCACGAGACTTTAAGTCACAATAGAGAGCACACACACAATTTCATGTCTGGCGAAATTATAATTTTACCAAGCGCTAAGGAGCCACTG